ACTGTTTTCTTTCCGTTAATAGTCACCGGTAGTCAGTATAATAACTGTTTTCTTTCCGTTAATAGTCACCGCGGTAGTCAGTATAATGACTGTTTTCTTTCCGTTAATAGTCACCGGTAGTCAGTACAATAACTGTTTTCTTTCCGTTAATAGTCACCGCGGTAGTCAGTATAATGACTGTTTTCTTTCCATACCAAGTATTATATTTCATAGGGAAATGACGTCAGTTCCATTTTGACTATGAAGATTGAGAAATACTATGAAAACTACAATTCTTCCCATCACATTTAACAATACAGAGTAGTCATCACACACTTCCGCATACCAGTACTTACTATGGTATGTGTACATCTGAAGTAAACAGTACTTCCCCTACTACCGGTCAATCTACATACATCACGTACTGAAATTGACGCATTATTTATAATTATCTTCAATCAAACTGACATTGATTTTACCTTAATAATCATTACCGACTTTGTATGGAAGGAATGTGGGATCGATACAAAACTAAAACCGAAACTTCTTTTTTTTTCTTCTCAGCTCTGGTCAGTGTCCTCCAGTCAGGTCGGTCATTGTACTAAGGCGAGAGTGTTCGTGTTAATGTACCCCGACAATTACATGTATGACCGACAGCCAAGACCGATGACTTAAAGGTTTATTCAACACTTATTTCGTGGCCGTTTGGGGAACCGTAATTTGTTACCTAGGTACTGTAGCAAGATGAATAATTTATTATACATGAAACAGCCTTTTCATTGGGAAACCGTTAATTGCCTGAACGGGTAGGAAAATAACCCTACGACAAAAAACTCATGAAAGTAAAGTTAAAGATCACAGTACCACTGTTAGTCTATGGCTTTGATAAATCAGTCATAGAAAGAAAATCATACATTGTGGGGCTTCCATGGGAAATAATACTGATAAAATAAACAAAATGAAATCAATAACAGTCGAATGGAAAATAATAAGCAAGACCGGGGTTCGAACACTGTGTCCTGGCCAAACTGTGCTTCAGTTATATCCAAACGGAAGTTAAGGGGATAAACTATATATACGACAAACAACAGGGCAGTGGGACTGGGTTCCTTAATAGGCGCAGAATAATTGACCATAAAAAAAAGTAAATAAAGGAAGAGATTTAACAATTATTGATTACCATTCATATAATTATAAAAACATCACTTGTCAAAGTAGCAGTATACAAATTAGCATATTGAATTTGATCTTCAAATTACCGGTCGTTATCTGCCTTGGGCAACAGTACTCCATCATGTAACAGCACAGGCGACTATTCACCGACATTGCGGATACTGCATTGTGAATGTTTGCAAGCTTTTGACATAACGTTGAGAAAACACAAATGATTTCTAGAAGGTACGGGTGAACATGCCAAATGTTTTCAGGGCATCTATTTAAAAATCGAGGGGTGGGATTTCCATATCCTGTCACATACATTATAATTCGTTATAGTAATAGTATGGAATTACCCTGGTGTGAAAAGACCGAGTAATATTAGACATGTTGAAGGTTTAGATCTTAAAAATACCGTCATTGGGGAAAGCTAAATCTCCTTAAACGTCTTATACATACAGTACTTTTATTACATGTATCAGACGTGTTTGATTGTCTGAACACTTTAAGAACAAAATATTGCTGCTGTAACAAATTCTCATGTCCCTGCGATACAAAGTTGACCAAAATCAGGGCCTGTACTAGTGAAACCATTCTCATACTCAAGCATGGGAACTGTGCTCAGGTCGGCGTTCTTGTAACACACTTAAATCGTACATGTGACATGGTAAAACAGTGAAGTGTAAACACTGAACACGGTATTAGGGTGTAAATCTCTAAAAAAAATCTCCCAAATCACAAACTTAGTGTGAATTATATCAATTTATCACCTGAACAAGAAATTGGGCTTGAGCACAGAATCTGATTCCGAGTATGAGAACGGTTTCATAAATAGGTAAAAAAAAAATGTTTTTTGTTGAAATTTTACGATAATAAGCTGAAATACTTTTCAATGATGTGAGAGGACAATTGCATAAGGCAGCATATGAAACCGCACGAAAATCTAGGTGCCTCTAAAAATTTGAAATTTGTTATGTCATGGACTCATGATGGAGACCGTTGGAGGTAGTACAAGACCCCATGTTCAACAAAGAGTCCTTTTATCAAAGTGTTGATTTATTTATAATTACCTTTCAACGAGGCAGCCGACAGAGGCGCTCGCTTTAGGAACATCTGGCAGCTGGTAGTCCTCGTACGCCTGGTCGCTGTACTTGACTAGATTATCATACACATCCTTATGGAGTTCTTCAACATCAATTTGAGCCCAATTCTCTTTTGGTGGAAACCGGAAATAGCTTGTTGGAAAATGCAGTTTCTCGGATAACTTTAGAGTCACGTCATGACGTATTGGCACTTTCATGCATACGTCGACTTTGGCTTCCAGACCAGACGTACGACGTGCGCGTCGCGATGGTAGCGTCGAAACCACGACGTAGGGGTCGGACACTACATACTCCATGCTAATTTCCCGATCACAGCATAGCGGCGATCTTGCATTTTCAATGGGCAAGAAGTCGACGTCCATAGGTAGTGACATACGCCCAGAGAATACGGCGTCGGCGCGGAACCCTTTCTCCTTCCCCGGGGGTGGTATTTCAATAAGTTTGAGGTCCAAATCATCTTGGAGGTACAACGTCTTCTTTGAACCGTCCTCTAAAATTTTGTAACATCCCACAACCGGAACATCGACGTAACTCTTTTTACTGAATTTGATTTTGTATTTAAGAACTGTTAATGACTTGAAAACTAACACATCTCCAATTCGTAAAGAAAATGGCGCGGGAACGTCAGAAGCAATGTCCTCCATGACCTTGACATTAATTGGCTCATTAAGTTCAATAAGGTCGAGAATTGACCCGAAACGTCTTAAGGCTTTCCGAAAACGACCTTTCACATTGTTTGATATACTGAAGTAGTCTTTGCCCGTCGTTCCTAACAACTTCGGGTCGTGTTCGACGTGGTGTACGAGCACCTCTAGTTCCTGTGAAAAATGCTTTCGGAACGCACCCGGGATTGATTTATAGTTGGTGATAACAGCGGTGATTGGGAATTCCGACTCGAATTCAGTAACAAAGTCACGTAGAGAGTACTCATTTGAAATGGGCTCCTCGTACTCAGTTTCTGTACTAGATACCACTTCTAGGTCAAGGTTACGATCAAGCTTCCACCGGACGTCCAAATTGTCCCTTGGCGACGCCACGAAGAACACTTCTGGTTTTTGCATGGTTATGATGCCTTTGTGTGTCAATGGTAGCCCTGTGATCCTGGACAGAGTCAGCTCTTTGTTTGTTATATTACCATATATTGGTTCCTCATCATCCTTTTCATTATTCTGAGATTCCTCTACGGCAACCAGAGTCATATTTTCGCTGGACATTTTTAGTTTTCTAGACACCACACCAAACGATATAATTTCTTGCAAAGTGTAACTTCTGTCGTCTTCCAGAACTGAAAAGTCACCGTGACATGATTTCGGTAACTGGATTAGATTACCGGCCTCGTCCTCACATTCCAGAAATATTTGTTCGTCCATTGGGCTCCGAAATTTTCTATGAAATCTGAAAACCTCGTCCTTACGGAAAATCGCTGGCAAGTACGGGTCATCGTATCCCTTATTGGCTTTGAATTTCATCGGAAAGACATCCAACAGATCCCCAACGGTTGAAAATATCTTTGGTGTATCTTGTTTCCCGGAAGACAGGAGAGACATAGGAGAAACAATTTTGAATTTGATAGCTGTCTTGGCTGGGACACGAGCGACCCGCCTTGACCCAGTGTCTGTGTCAAAAAATGACAGGCCAACGTTGTCCATGGCCAAGGTATGTAGGTAGATAAAATCACCCTTCTTTATCCCCGTCCTTCGGTACACACCTTTCAGGTCCTTCCCTCCAACTACCCTCACGAACTTTGGGAGCTTATAACACTCCGTAATTTCTTTCAGAGAACGTACCTGTCGGGCCTCCGGTGATTTAGTTTCGGAGGCCGCCATCTTTATATCCCAGTATCTCTAGCGGAAACACTCACCTGTGTTGACATACACACGCCTTCACTCACATGGAATGTTTAAAACGTTACTGCCGCTTATCAGCAGACGGGTACAACACAGATTGTATTAGAATATCGATCGGTTTAGCCGCCATATCTGTTTAAATACAGTACAAAACAGTTGTGCCTACAGTTGTAAACTGTCGAATAGTTTATCACACTTACCACAGTATAAATATTAACTCCATACGCTTATTACACTAGCCAGTGTATATTCCGTACATACTCAATTAACACAGATACATTCATATATATATATATTATAGCGCAGTTTATCCTTCCGTAAACACATAACACATCCATGACGAAGATCCATTTCTGTAAGTAACAAGTTGTACAAAGTGCAGTCCCGTTATAGTTTTCTTCTCTCACAACTCGGTGTACCAGAACATAGCTAGCGATATTTATCAATTGACGACTCCTGCAGACCTACATATGTACGCCGTGTTGCCTAAGGGTATATACATGTATGTCTGACACGCTAGATTGATTCGCACGGTAAATATAGCCTACCTGGATTTTCCATGTTGAGCTTTAAAGTTCTCCGTTATAAACAACACAATGCCACGAGACAAATACCTGTAAAGAATTAAACGGGAACATCTTAGGTTGGTCCGTTTTTTTTAGGTAATTGCTCCTGGGAATTTGCCAGAAATAAACGGTCTATTCTTATAGATGATGAACAGCGGTTTCTCGTCAACGACGAATAGACTATACATCTGTAGTCCCAACACCAGATAAGCTCTGTTTGTTTAAAACACAGTGTAAAATGACAACGCAAAAGTGTTTAGAACATGTTTCTTTGTCGAGATGTACTTCCAAACAATAAGTTATAGGTTAAATATTTACGTGGAAACGTTCACTTAAAACAGCACTCTAAGTATTCTACATCAATATGTTTTCGTAATTTATGCCGTTCTTTCGCTATCATTTGTTTGTAAAATAAATTCATTCATGTTTCACTCCGAAACTATGATATTTAGTTCCTTCTAAACGGCTCAATAGCTTCGTAATAGTGAGGACTTCTGGTCGTCGGCTTAACACCCATTAAAGAACGATCATATGACGTATATTGTTTTCCTCGTCAGCAAGTTTTTCTGTCACTTTTTACTGGCTGATGATGTACCAAACTTCTCCATTGGAACATTAACAGCTTAATTGTGTAAGGTGTAAAACGATTTCAGCACTGGCCCCTGGTATAACAATCCGTTTACTATTATTGTTGGTATATAATTCCAATCCTGTGGTTTCAGTGGCTGGCTGCATACGTAGCATAACCGTGTGGGTTTGTTATTTCAGCTGCCGTATCATTACATCGGTAGCCTAATGTATCTCTTACACTCTCTATCATGTCGTTATAGGTGTAGCTATTCTAGTCTCTGCACCTCTCCAGTCTCTTACACAGGCAGCAATACTTTGCAATCCGCTGTGAACAGAAATTCGTTCATCATTTTTTTCCAAATACTGTTCCAAATTTCTTTCTACTCGTTCACACAAAACTAGTGTATTTCCTCGTGAAAAGCTCGACAACAGTGTGGCGCTGCCATCATACCTATGACTGCTGTTTTTGCTCCACTGTACATCTATGACGACGTGGCCACTGATCAGCTCTGTTTTATTGAATAGTGGGACTTATATTAGGGGGTACACGTTTTTTGTAATCTACTCATAATTTGTCTCAAAGCCAAAAGTTGCCTGCCAGACATAGTGTGGTAACAATTTAATAACGGCTGCATCCCGCTGTATTTTAGTCCAGACAATGTTGTGTTAAAAAGGAAACCGTTCTACATCATTGCATGAAAACTAGCTTTATTGCCATAGCTAACCCCCAGAGACGTACACCTTGCCCCAGTACTGCGCGGCTATACCAAGTGGCCTTGATTGAGTTATGTCTCGCGGTACTTGTACTGCGTTGTACCGTGGAAAAAAATAAGCGGTATTTATCAATTTACATCAAAGATGATATATACGTTGTTAATACACACAGAAATTCTTAACATAAGTCTGCATATATCCTTTTTTGCGAGAAATTAACTTCATTGACCACAGTTCTTTTGAAAGCGTTAACAGCAAAGTAAGTAAATGTGCCACATCCTTCAGATGTATCGCCCCTTTCAATTTGCACCTGGTCGCAATTAACCTCAGTTACGTCATCCTTTGTACTTTTAATATTTGATGCACTAAAGAACAATCCAAAGGCGTTCACACTATTGGTACTCCATTGTATCTTACCGTACAACTTCTCCAACTATCGGGATCAAATACCATAACAATAAGACTCGGGTCCAAAAGAGTGTCGCCTTCTAATGCTTTCTGCAGTAGGAGAGCAGCACGTGCATTTGGTAAACTTACATAATCAATTATTGTAAATGTGAACTAGTCTGCTAAATCAATATTATTTAAAGCAAAAATAAATGTATCTTAAATAATATCATTTGAAACTTGAGACTGTTTCATGAAGACGACTGATGGTGTCGGCCATTGCTAGCGGACTACCGGAAGTGATTTTGCTCACAAAAACTGACCTTATGTTGGGTGTATGGTACCTGACTGGCACAATGTGGAGGATGGGGTTGATAAAATACCTGATAATGTTACTAAAATATAGATGATATAATTGTTAACACGTGTAGGTAGTGGAACGCGTGGATGCTGTTTTAGTCTAGACACTCAGGCCTTGGGGTCTAGTTCCAGTTAATTTCTCGTTACACACATTCTATGATATTCCCCAGTTAGGATTCCATATGCTTCAGTAATCAAACTATCATTGAAAGAAACAATGCTGTGTGCTGATGAGAAACAAACACATCGTGGTAGGCGTAACAAAAAATACACATGGCTAAGTACAAATGTATGTAACTCAATTACAAGGCAAGCTGTCTGTGGATAGATATTCAATAATCCAGGCGGTCGTCAACACTAAATTCACAAATCTGAAGTTCTGGAACAAGTTGTATACCAATTGTTTATAATTATAGCAGGCAATTATGAAATTTGAAATATTTCCAACTTATTTCAAAAATTCATATTTGACATGATGGGATCATTTTGGATGGACAATTTAGTGTTCAAGTTTTGATAATTATGAAAATATCAGCGATGAACAATTGATTTCACTGAAGTCCGTGAAGCTTAAGCGCGACACACCTGGCCCACGAGATCGCGTGTTTACTGGTGACTTGTTAACGTTGCTATTTCCGGTATCAGATACGAAATTTTCTTTGTCACCACCTGCACGTCACAGGTATCCCAGCCTTCTGCCTGTGTCGGACACATTAGTGTGAATATTTTCAAGTATCAATTCTAGAGAACGAACCAGCGTCTTCATATTTTTTCACTCCTGGGAAAAATGAAAACTATTCATTTCAATATATCACAGCGTACATTGTAACGGAGCTTTTCTGTCAGACACATGGTCTGGTTAAGCTGAGGGACGATACCAGTAAGGCAACTTTCTCCATATAGGATATTTTCAAAAAATGTTTAAATTCAGAAATAATAGTAATTGGGAATTTCGGCCACATCAACACAGAAGAGGTAGAGTCAATAAAAAGTATCACAAAATGTTGAGGGAAATGACATTACACATTTTACTAGCTGGCATCAAATAGAAGCATCTTTCGCAACTAATGTCTGAGTGCGGTGAAAATATAATCATCTTTGTACTAACAGAATAGAATTATTGAAAATTCAGTGGCATATTAAACTGTCTCGTGGAGTGAAATATATAACCTCCGTGATACAGACATTATATATATTACCTCCGTAATACAGACATGAAATATATAACCTCCGTAATACAGACATGAAATATATAACCTCCGTGATACAGACGTTAAAATATATAACCTCCGTAATACAGACATGAAATATATAACCTCCGTAATACAGACATGAAATATATAACCTCCGCAATACAGACGTGAAATATATAACCTCCTTAATACAGACGTGAAATATATAACCTCCGTAATACAGACGTGAAAAACATAACCTCCGTAATACAGACATGAAATATATAACCTCCGTAATACAGACATGAAATATATAAACTCCGTAATACAGACATGAAATATGTAACCTCCATAATACAGAGTGAAATATATAACCTCCGTAATACAGACATGAAATATATATCCTCCGTAATACAGACGCGAAAAACATAACCTCCGTAATATAGACGTGAAATAGATAAACTCCGTAATACAGACATACAATATATAACCTCAGTCATACAGACATGAAATATATATCCTCCGTAATTCAGACGTGAAATATATACCCTCCGTAATACAGAGTAAAATATATAGCCTCCGTAATACAGACATCAAATATATAACCTCCGTAATTCAGACGTGAAATATATAACCTCGGTAATACAGACGTGAAAAACATACCCTCCGTAATACAGACGGGAAATACATAACCTCAGTAATACAGACATGAAAGATGTAACCTCCATAATACAGAGCGAAATATATAACCTCCGTTATACAGAGTGAAATATATCACCTCCGTAATACAGACTTGAAAAACATAACCTCCGTAATACAATACAGACATGAAATATATATCCTCCGTAATTCAGACGTGAAATATATAGCCTCCGTAATACAGACAAGAAATATATAAACTCCGTAATACAGACATTAAATATATAAACTCCGTAATACAGACGTGAAAAACATAACCTCCGTAATACAGACGTGAAATAGATAACCTCCGTAATACAGACATGAAATATATAACCTCCGTAATACAGACATGAAATATATAACTTCCGTAATACAAAGAGAAATATATAGCCTCCGTAATGCAGATATAAAATATATAACCTCCGTAATACAGACGTGAAATAGATAAACTCCGTAATACAGACGTGAAATACATAACCTCCGTAATACAGACATGACATATATAACCTCCGTAATACAAAGTGAAATATATAGCCTCCGTAATACAGACATGAAATATATAACCTCCGTAATACAGAGTGAAATATATAGCCTCCGTAATGCAGATATAAAATATATAACCTCCGTAATACAGAGTGAAATATATAGCCTCCGTAATACAGACATGAAATATTTAACCTCCGTAATACAGAGTGAAATATATAACATCCGTAATACAGAGTGAAATATATAACCTCCGTAATACAGACATGAAATATATAACCTCCGTAATACAGACGTGAAATACATAACCTCCGTAATACAGACATGAAATATATAACCTCCGTAATACAGACGTGAAATA